GGACCCCACCCCTGTGAAGGATACCACAGAGTGGTAGGTGTTCAGAACTGCATCCACCAGCTCCTCAGTGCCCTAAACAGACCTGGAAAATATGCCAAGTGTTTTGTTGATTTGGAAGAATCAAGGATATGACCTGGAGGCAAGAGCAAGTGAAAAAAAAAAGTGAAAATCTGGTTTGGAAACATTCTCTCTCTTACTTGTTTGTGTCATAAAAGGAGAAACAGTTCAGGGAACAAGAGATTTATGGTTAGAAATGAACTGGTTCCCATCAAACAGGTTTTCAAGAATTTGCCTATACACAGCATTGTAAATCAACTATACTTCAGTAAAATTTTTTTAAATAAAAAATAAATAAAAGGTGATAAGACCCCCCTCCCCCAACCTTCAAAAAAATTTGCCTAAACTTCCATTTGGTCGCTTCATTTGAAGTTCCGCTTACCACACTGCAGAGGGAGGCCCTCCCAAAGTATTTGCTTAGCGAGGACCATGTGAAGGGTTGATCTGTTTTCTCTAAATCTTGTTAAGTTTATTTGGTGTCAGAGCTCTTGGCAAGAGGGATAGGGTCAAATAGCGATAGTAACAGAGCGATTCCAGTGGTTTACTTGAGACTCATACTGGAGAGTTTGTAAACATGGCATTCAGTGAGATGAAAGGTTTTTATTTGGCTGCTATGGTATGTGTTATAATCTAAATATTTCACACACACATGCGGTTAACTTTTTGTGTCAACTTGACTGGACCTTAAGCCAGATGCCAGGATTTGGAATTTTTGCTGTGCCATCATTTGGGTGATTCGTCCATGTCTGTCCTTGCCCTGCAGAGTCTAAGAACTGCCACTTAGGGCCATCTGGGGTATTTCGTGGGCTGTATTAGACATTATTCAAGGGAAAATGGTGACACAGGGTGAAGAGTTGTCAGTGCTATTTATTAGAGGAGAATTTGGAGGGGATGGAAGATCAGGACAGTCTTCACAGGAGATATTCAAGCAGGTCCATTGCAACCGCCTCCCACAGGGTTTCCCCAGCACGAGTCTCTTCCCACTGTGGCCCACCGCTGCAGCCCTGCCACAGTAAGTCCTCTAAAAAGCAAATCTAATCGTAAGGCTCCTTTGACCTTGTTTGGCTCTCTACCTTCTACTTGATGAAACTCAGAGTCCTTCACAGTAAGGCCACATCTCGTACTGCTCCCTTGCCATCTTACCCCAACTCAGCATCCTCTCTATTTTTCCACGACCTCCCAAATGTCCATATTGTGAACCTCTGAAACCTCTCCTATATTAGTCCATGGACCCAAGTTACAGAGCCCTCCCATAAACATGGACTGTAACATTGATCAGTATATGGTAGAGGACCTGACAATGGCTTTTTTGTTTGTCTGTTTTAAGATCTTGAATTGAAAAATACACACCTTTAGGTTATAAAGCTGCATTAAATTCGGAGGGGATGTTTAGCAGAATAAAACCTCTTTGGATCTAAGGGTTTTTCCTTTAGCCACTATTCTGGAAAAGATCAGGTCTGAGTCTATTCATAGAAGGACACTTTATCTATGAATTTAATTTTAATTTGGGAAGGATTAAGGTTAGTTCAATTCAAGTTGTAAACACTTTGAAATATCTTCCCCCTTGACTTTATGAGATTTGAGAGGACTGATAGAGTGAGGAATTGGGAGAAGGGGTTACTGGCTTAGAGCCAGGAAAAGGCCTGTCCATTCTGAGTCATTGCTTGGAAACAGAAAGCTGGCCTCCTCAGGCCCCTCGACACCCGGACCCTGCTCGCAGGAGCCGGCTGTGGGCTGCGTGGCCCCGGTACCGCGCCTTCGCTTCCCCAAGCATGTTTTAGGTTTTTACTCCAAGCTCACCTTTTAAGAGAGGACTGAGTTCTCAGGCCACCTACATAAAACTGCAATCTTTTTTCAGCGTTTGGCGCTTCCTATTGCTCTTTGCTGCTGAATTTTTTTTTTCTCCTTCAATCTCATCAGAATCAAAAATATTCTCTATTTTACTTCCTTGTTTCTGTCTTCTCCTCTAGAATATAAGCTCCATGTGGGGAGGGATTTCGATCTTTTTTGTTCACTGCTGAATCTCCAGCATTCAATAAATATGCCTGAGTGAAAACCTATTAACTCTTCAAGAGCTTAATCCACCTCCTCCAGGGAGCCTTTCCTAATTTCCCCACTCACCTTCTCTGTGCTCCTGCAGAACCCTGCCCTCAAGTTAACCTCGTCATTGACTTGACGTTAAACCTCACATCTTTCTTCTGGGATTTATTACTTTCAGAGTGTTTAGAGATGATCTTTTGATAAATTAAAATTCTGCACATACATCCAAAAACTCAATTACACACATACAAGTTAGGAAAGATTTCACTAACAGCAGAAAATGTGAAAAAGACAGGGTTTTAGTGAACTATCAGCTCAGTGATTCAATAATGAGACGAGGTTCACAAAAAACTAACCAACCAAGCACCCTCCCACAGACCCAGTTTAGTTTTAGGCTGCATGACAAACAACGAATCAAATTCCTTCACGTTGACCTGGTCAAGTCGTGAGTGGAGTTTTGTGATCGGTCCTGGCTGCCCCATTCAGGTGTGGTCTACAGCACACTCAGGAGAGCGGAGACTGGAAATGATACGATTTAAAAGAACTGGGAATAGTTAGCCCGGGAAAGATGGGGCAAAAGAGATGCCTTCCGAAGTCCTATCATATTGGTGAAAATTGTCTTCTGTGTGGTCTTAAGGAAAGTTGGAAATGACAAGGAAATCTATTTTGGCTCAATAAAAGGGAGACCTTTTCAGCCTGTCGAGGTGGCCTGGGTTGGTCTGGTTCTTGAGGGTTCTGATGCAGGCTGGGTTCGGTGGGGATGACGTGGAAGTGGGTCATGGCAGTAGCTCAGGGATTGCCACTCCCGCCCTCTTGGCTGAGTGGTGGCTCCTGGTGTGCTCTGACGGTCCCTGCTCCCTCCAGCCTCCTTCTGTGTGCCCCTCGTGGCTGCACAGCATCCTAGCTGTGTTCTTTGCTCAAAGTGTCTATGATGTGCTTTATTCTTTAAAAATGTCATTTGTTACTAAGTATTCCAATTCCTTTACCTAATTTTCATGCTGCCAGCAATTGTTTAAGTACCGGCCTGGCATAAACAGAGATGAGTTTGTATTGTCTGTCATCCTCTCTTCACTCCCTTCCATTCTGGACTAGAGTCAGACCTTTCTATCATCTTGGACACATACTCATGGCAGATGAATGGAAGTGGCTGATACCAGAGCACAAAGTCAAGTATAATGCTGGAGAAATAGGATTCCAACTCACCAGATGAAGAGAGGCTGGGATGACTAATTTCAGTGCTGCAAAGAAACCCCAAACCATGTGCCATTCTCGCAGGCAAGACCGCAGGGGCTGCCCACACGGGGGAGGCTCATTTGAAGACCCACCTCTCAAATACATATTCTCTGTGCCTTTATTCTCTCCCTTCCGAACCTCCTGTCCCAATCTTTTGCCTCCCAGCACACAGAACAGAGTGCCTGGGACTACTCATCCCTGAGAGGCCCACAGCAGTTTCCACTGGTCATGTAAGGCCACGGAGAGCTGTCAGTCACCTGGGGTTTCTCAGATTCTTTTATTCCTCCCACCACTGTGTACACATCAGAAGCTTTTGCTTCTGCCTACTTTGGATGTCTATAACCTGTACGGTTCTCCTCTTCTCCTGGCACATAGTAGGTGCTCAATAAAAATTTGTTACTGAATAAACCCCAACAGCTTCTTTTAGTTCAAGTTACCATCACCTCTGGCCTGGACTCCTGCAGACCTCATAAATGGTCCTTGCCTCAGTCTTGACCCTTCTTCAGCTGCCAGCTCCACGATGCCAGCCAGAAGGATCTTCCAAATCTGCTAATCTGATCACTTCGTTTCCATGCTTAAAACTACTCCACAGCCCTAAGGATAAAAACCAAACTCAAATGTGGCAACCAAGGCCCTTCACGATTGGTGCCCACTTTCTCTTAGCCCTCCCAACCCTTTCATCTTTCTTCTAGTCTCTGCAGGTAGCCCTCCCCAGTCATCCCCTTCTCCAGGGCTTGCCAACACCCTGGGCTGGGGTGAAGGCCTCCTGGTGTTTCCTTTAATGATGGTCATTAGACTGTAACCTCCTTGAGGTGCAAAGCAAACCCTAATTTCAGTGTCTGGCCAACACTGGAGGCTCACAGAATGTCTGCAGAAAGTACGAACGTGCCCAGCGTGTTTATGTGTGTTTTCTAGAACTCCCTTAGTCTTTCCCAAGGGAGGCAGCACAGCCATGTGGAGTGGGCCGCAGGTGAGGCAGACAGGATGGAAACTGGACTTCTAAGAGTCCCCCAAACTCAGACATAGAATAATTTACATTTTGAATTATTGTTTCTCATTTGACTTGTTTTTTATAACATGTAACATTCATATGTATAATTTCACGAGCAAGATCTAACTTCTACTTATAAAAAAATATAATTTATATACTTCCACATTACTTTCCCATTAAAAAGTGGTGAAAATGTAGAAGCTGGGCATTGTAAAGCTTAGTGCGTGGCTTTATCATGGACTACAGGGAAGTACCTTGGGATCAGAAAGGTCTAAATTCAAGTGCCCCATGAGCTGCGTATCAGGTGTGTGACCCGGGAGAAGTTCCGATGGTGGGATGTGCCTGGCAGGTGGGAGGCACTGAATTGTTCCTTCTCTTCCTCTTACTTGTGGTTTTACAGAGATCTGGGAACACAGAGCTTCAATAATAAATAATTTTTTTGTTCTACTTTTGAAATAAAAGGGAGGCATATTCGTTTCTTAACTCAGTTTCCCTTGGATGAAGCAGCTGCCTTGGTAACAACAGAAAATTCTTTACTTATACAATAATTAACATGGTTTTTAGAAAAATGTAATTTGATGTCACTGATAATGCAGATCTTTTCTCTTAGGCATCTTTTAAAGGAAACAAAACTATGCTTAAAAATATATAAATAAATACATAAGAAACAAACCAGCAATTGTAATGCCCCAGTGAATCCTGAAAATTTATTATTTGGGAGAATATCAGATATTGATCCTTTGTTTTACAGCTCTTGATAATAATCAGAAAATACACATTGTGAAATGAAAGTCAAAAGCAAAGAATAATTACATATGATACAGATTACAGATATTTTATTTGTACATAAGCAAAGCAGTACTAAAAGCATATTTATGTGTCCACAACTAGTGAACGTGGCAATTTTCTGTTTAAAGCTGCAGCAACTCAAATCCTTTTCGGGTCAATAAAGAAAGATAGATTGAGAAATATATTTAGGGCTATCACCATGTCTGGCTGTAAACCTATTTTTTTTACTCTTTCCCCTCCCCCCATATATATATATATGTATATACTTTATTGCCTTTATATTTCTGCTGGTTTAATATAATCAGTATACTAAATAGTTATCTGCATTTATTTGGTTTCTAAAAATATATAAAATGCATTGGAATAGAGCTCCTGCAGCTTTCAAGCAGTCACGGTCCTGGCATCGAAAGCTTATTCTGGAAATGTCAAGCAGCAACACTGAATAAATAGTGATTGTTTTGTCTCCTCCGTACAGCTGATGGCCTTCACCCAAAACTTAAAAATACTGTAGCAAATAGTATAAACATGCAACTGAAAAAAAAACCTGACATAATATAAAAGTAATACTCATGAGCTGAATTTGAATACAATACAGACTAATAAAGACAGCGTTAGGCAGAGGAGGGATGTGAAGACAGCACTGTTATTTACATATAAATTAAGGCCCAATATTTCAAAGGCAATTCACACAGGGAACCGTCCATCTGACCATGCCCTTTGCACACCTGAAATCAAGAGCTTCTGCCTTTTCTATATTATTTCCTCAAATCCATTATTATAGTTCTAACTTGGAAAGATGTTCCCAGAAATGGTTTTAAATGCAGTTTCTCTTCTCTAAAGGCCACTTTGCTCTTATTCACAAAGAAAGTTTTCTTTTAACGCAGGTACAAAATGCATTTATGTTCTGGAAGCAAATGCTTATTCGTTCTTCTTAAACACTGTTAAAATTCACATTTCACTTCGTAAGTTCTGTATTGTTACTCTATTAGTCTTATTTGAGCACTAGTTTATGATTAATTTGAACTATAGAAACTGATGACTATCTCAGTTATGGCTGAAGGAATTAAATGGGTTAACTCCTATTAACACCAACCAAAGTCTCACATATAAATTCCCTGTGCATTAGGGAAAAAAACCTAAAAGCTAACAAACCAAAATATCCCATTAGAACAACAAAAGAACAGAGGCAACTCACCATGTATCATTCTCTGAGGATGACAAACACTCAGAAGGGTCAGTTTACCTATGCTATTTCTCATTATTCCTTGGTAAGAAAACAATATCTTCTAATGTATTTAATACTTGTAGAAAATCACAGTAAAACAACTTGCAGTGTAGTAACAGTTAAAAAAAAAACCTTGAAATCGAATTTAGTATTTAGAATCCAAATATTTCCCCAGATGCAAAATTTTCTATTTGATATTTTGGTAGACCATTGCCCACTTCCCCCTCTGAAATGTATCCAAAGGTGTGGCCCTTAACCTAACTCACTTGTGTTCACAATAGATAAAAATGATCAGAAATAGACTAAGATATTTTTAAGATGTTCTAGGGAAATGAGTCTTCTTTATTTTAGAAAAAGACTTAGAAAAGATTTCTTAGAGATGTGCTTCCAGAAGTAATAGAATTGATTAAAAAGTACAACTGCTCATTGCAGTAATCAAATTCACGTTTATATACTCCTCTCATCTAGAAACAGTATTTCTGTCTGCAATGAGGTCTGTGAAGATTATCTGGCAGCTTGAAAATTCAAACAAAGTTGTCAGAATCCTGCCCGTCCTTCTGTAAAGTTATTAGGTTAATGCTGACAATAATTTACAACAATTAAGTTGGATACTGACTTTGTGTTTTTTTATGGCATGCCAAGGCATCTTTGCAATTAAAAATTGCGAAGTTTAATATGTCTTCAGTTTAACATTTTGATTTAAATAGAATGTGATCCATCTATAAAAATGTTTTTCTTTGTGAATAAGATCTCAATTTCTCTGAACAACAGTAACAAAATGACCCAGTATAGAATGGAACCCTTTAAAAATAAGGCATATATTGGGCATACACAGACCATCATTGTCACAAAATCTACAAATTATTTTGATTTTTTAATTCTCCGAATTTTTAAATACATGTAGATACGAAATAATTATTATAAATTGACAGCAAATGTGTATAGGTTGTGGTTACTAGGTAAGAATCATTTATTTCTCAAGTTATTTGCAAAACAGTATAATGGCAAGGTCAACTTGGTAACTCCAGGAACCCAAAGAAAATATGTTTAGTTGAAGTCTGCCATTTAGCTGGACTAGAAAAGGCAACTCTGCATTATTACTTTCAGTTCTCTAGAAGCTTCTATATATTTTCATAGCCATTCTTAAAATTTTTCATTGGAAACCTAAATATAGCAGCATTCTCAGCATTCATTAAACCAAAAATAAGTCAAATGTATTTAAGACATCCAAAGTTGCCCTCATGCATACGATATAACTTACATCTTTTTATTGTTACCATGGCATCAATAGACTAATCCATTTTTACTTTGTTGCATGTAAATAATACAATGTGTTTCCTGCAGAATTAAAAACTACTTTAAATTTCAGATTAAAGTCTTAATTATATAGTACCAAATTTTGATCAGAGGGAATGTAAAAATGGCTAAGAAGTATCTGACCACATCCATCCAGACAGTCTTGTGAATCTCAGTTAAGTCAGTACTCATGGGAGGGGTGTGGACTCATTTTTGGTTTTATAATATATGTACAAGTGGAGATTAATGTCCTGTAAAAAGTTGAGCTGAAAATTAATGAAAACAAACACTGAATTTATTTTCTTGGTAAAAAGTACCTAACTCCAATCTACTTTCTATTTAAGTGATTGGAGAAACAATAGTCCACAGTGTGCACAGTAAACGATGTGCCAGCAATGACTTATCCATGGTGCTCACACCAACAGACCGTGCATATAAAGTGGGTTATTTTTAAAAATTGGCAACCTTCCTGAAGATACCCTCAGACATCTAATTTATGTATTATGGCAACTCTGAGGACCCACCAGATTAAAATAATAAGGCAGGGCAGAAACAAAACACATAATGTGTCAGAAACCCCATGCCTGTTCAGATAGATATTCAACAATTACATTTTTGTTCAACAGTGTCCGAAGCACTGCAAACCTTTTAAACGTGTAATTTACCTCATGAAAACACTTCTGTTCTTGTATGTGGTCCTTCATACACTGGAAATATTGTAAAGAAAAGACTGAACTCCAGACTACAAAGAAAAGCTGAATTATTTCAGCTACGTGAGCCATGGTTAGGACGGGTTCATGATACAAGTGCGAGCCAGTTCTTCTGGGGTTAATTCCGACGGCGGAGCATCTCTGACCCTCACTAGCGCCGCGTATGGAGTCTGGCCACATGCATACAAGGTCACAGTCACACACTGTGTAATGTACTTCAGTCACAGGATAAGCATTAATAACAAATATTAAAACATCAACATTCACTCATTAATTGATTACATGGAATAAATAAACTAAGCCAGTCACATATTTCTCGTCACTCTTAAGTCACGGTTTTATTTATGTATACACACAGCATAATACTTCCCTAATGCTCTCAGAATGCTACAAATAAAAATGAAGGCTTTGCATTACAGCTGCTGGACAAAAACGTCAACACTGTTGATGTGCGAAAACACAGTTTCTTTGTTCTTTAGCATCAGTGCACAGGGTATGGCTCCAAGTGGTATGCGGTTTAGGACAGAAAAAAGATACGGTGGCTTGTGAAATATATCCTCTGTTCATCATTGGCACAAATCAAAGAAGGAAGTTTTAGTGTCCTTGGTACCTTTACTGGGTCTCTCCCCTGAAGACAGATAATGTTATACATAAATGCCTTCAGGATTAAAACCAGACGAGACGGGGTTCTGCAGAATGCGAAGATTACTGGGGAGCTGCCGCGAGGAGCCAGGCCGCTTTAGGGACCCAGACTGGAATGGTGCCTCTAAACAGGAAACAGAGAAAGTCAGCGGATGTTCCTAGCAACCTGGAGTACTCAGCAATATGAAAAATCAGAATTTTTCCTGCCCTCTAGAACCAATAACATATAGTAAGGACTGCAACCTGCCGCAGGTTCTGGGTGACGGGAGACGCTACTCTGCTTGAGCCCCTCAGGACAGAACAGGTTTTGGTGATTTGAACAGTTCATGACCTTTTATTAAGGTGAGCATTTTGCTTCTCTTTCTGGGCTGTTCAGACTATACACAGCCCCAGACTTAGAAGTGTCCTTTAAATATCAGCACAAATTGAGAACAAAGACTTTAAGAGAGGAAGAAGGGGCATTAGGAACAAGGAGAAACGAAAACAATTAATTAACAGACCTTGATTCTCATTTGTTTCAGGAAAAAGCTTGTAAAAGAAGCAGTTTAAACCTAATGATAAGACATTCGGTGATGCTCATCTAAGTACATAAGTAACCTAAATATTATTGATTTGCCTCACAAACAGGAAATAAATCAAAAAATTAAGTGGCTCAAGAATTAGCTTTGAATGGTAGGATCACACTTCAACTGAATGCAAGCAGTTTATTAAAAGTCAACAGTGAGAATGAAACTTAAATAAAAAGCGACTTCTCACGTCTTACCCCTTTCTACGTCTACATGCGAGGCCTCCACCTCGGTGGGCTCCGCAGGCAAGACGGTGACTTTCGTCCCCGTCTGCTGGATGAACTGCTGCAGGTTGACTTGCCGCAGCTCCTTAGTCAGCTGCTCCAACTCTTGTTCTTTGTCCTGGATGGAAGTTAAAAAGGTTTTTTAAATTCGAGGATTCACTATTGGCGACCTCCATCCTGGTGACAGTCTGCCCGCGACGGCGGTTAAACGTACTTAACAGACCTGGTTTATATCGGTATCATGGGCTAAAGAGGTCACCTTCACACTGTGACATGGGCCAAGAAAGAGGCGAATAAAGGACAACAACCTTCAGTCTGTCTATAAACGTGATGCCTTCCTCTGTAAAGAATACACTCTGCGCCTGATGAAGTAAATGTACGTCTATAAACTTCCATGAATGAAATACTGGATTCCATCCACCTGGTGTTCACAGCAATCTTGTTGAGCTGTTCACGGGTAAACTTCCCTATAATCGACTTAACTGACTGCAAAATTAATAGTCATTTGGTCCACGAGACTCAGAGTCCTTGCTTTTTTAAAACTGTCTAAGTTTTCATGGAATCCGTTCTTTGGATTTGTCTTACAGCACGAGGGACGCGAGGTTCCCACTACGAGGTTCTTACGTCCTGGACAAGGCAGGTCTGAGAACTAAGTGCTCTGAAGTCAGGAGATAAGTTTGGATGCCAGAAAGCTCAGAAAGAAAGGAGAGGCTTTCTACTATTCAAATGGATTTTCTGCTCTCTCTCTCTCCTCTAGGGCACTAAGAAAAAGTGGCGAGGCCCCACCCAGGCTGGCCGTGCCCGGATTTGTTAAGGGGAGGGAAGAGAAGCAGAAAGGAGTGCTTGTTTCCTCTGCTCTGAGTGTAGAGGGTACTTGGAGGTATGTTAGTAGTTTGATTATTAGATAATTTTCAGTAGGTAATTTCTGTTGTTAGTGTTTCCTGTAATGTCAAGGCAATACAGTTTCCAAATGTACCCTTTTTTTAAGTGTCAAAATGAATCCAAATAGTAAAATACTGACACACCAGAGGCTAACAACCATCTATTGCACGAGAAATTCCCGACTTTCCAAATTTTGGTGGTAGGTCTACCTCTCACTATAGTTAGTGGCAGAGAAAGGATCACATCGGCTCTTCCTGGAACCTCAGTGTTCTCTGTCGTGGGGCTGTTCATATTCTGAAGCAGCTCCTCTCGAACTCCAGTGTGCACAGGGACTGTTTGGAGATCTGGTCACTATACAGATTCTGAATTTCTAACAGGTGCAGTGCCCTGAAGCTTCACAGATCACTCTCTGATCCATGATCACACAGCTTCCAAGCCAGTGCTGTCCAATACAGTAGCCACTAGACACACGTGCTATTGAGCACTTGACATGTGGCCAGATGTGACTAAAAACAGAAATGTAAGTGTATTTAATGTTTTAAAACAGCTTTATTGAATATTATTTAATTTTAATTAAAGTAGCCAGATTATAAGCAACTATGCATCCTTTTCACTTCAGCTGTGACAGGCTGACACCTCTTTGCAACTTTCATAACATCACCACACTGTCTTTTCAAGAACGATATTCAAGAAGTAGAAGTTGAGTGATCGGGGTCTAAGTGCGGAATACAAATGTTCTTGTATGTGAACTAGAGATGGGGACAAATCAGAGAGGCACCTGCCCCTCTCCTCAGGAAAGCAAGGGGGGGGAGGGGGACTCTCTCAGGAGAGAAGACCTGGTTCGCAAGCACACACAACCCTTGGTAATTTCTTTCAGCTCTGGTTTCCCATCTCTGAAAGGAGATGGTCAGATTCACTATCTCATCACTAGTGTCCATTCCAGCTCTGAGGTTCACGTCTCCTGTATCCAATTACCTAAAGCCACAACGGCCACAGTAAGGAAGCTTCTTCCCTGGAGAAGGACCCAGGTGGCCTCAGCTCTCGTCTTTGTTTTGGTAAAACATCTTAGCTTTGTCGTAAGTCACAGAAATTCTAAGAAATTTAAAAACCAAGGAAGGTTTCTAACTTTAGATGTAAGAGAAAACGAGCAATTGTTAAAGGAGATGTCAAAATGTATTAATTCTTTTAAAATAGATGAAACTTTATTTATTTTTTTTTTTTTTGGTAAAAGTGTTCTTACCTGTAATCGCTTGGTGGCCTGTCCCAGAGATCTTTCCACAGCTTTAATGCCGTTTTCCAGCCTCAGACTCTGCTGGCCTTGAATGTCAATTTCCCCTCTGACTTTTCCGATCTTCCCTTTAACCTCTTCTTCGTTAACTTGTGCCTCTTCCACCTCCCGCTGCAATTTTTCTGCCTCAAGACCGCTTTCCATAGTCTGGATTTGAGCCAAATAGTCCTTCAATTTGCTCTCACATTCTGTTATTTTCTGTCTTATTTCTTGAAGTTGATCTTTCAGCTGTTTTTCATTTTCCTGCTCAATCTGTAGTTCATTTTCCCAAAATTCTTCCTCCTCAATTTCTACGTCGTTTCTTTTGATCTTTTGCTCCAGACGGACAATTTCCTCTTCAAGGTTAGAGTTATACTTCTGCTCCCAAAATCGTATTTCTATTTCGTTTGATTCTAGCTCTTTCTCGATGGATTGGAGCTTCTCTGTCTGCAAACGGATCAGCTTCTTTAACTCATCTGCTGTTGTTTTGCAGTTATTCAGCACCTTCTGCTTAAATTCCGTTTCTTTACCTTTTCCGAAAATGTCCATTAATCCTTTGGCGCCTCCTGTAAATGTTAGTGATTTCCTTTTAGGTTCTCTTCTTTTGATTGTTTTGTCAATCTGAGGCCTCAGCTTGGCTAAGGGGGGCAAACTCTGCCTGTATAAAGTTCTTTCCGGAATCCGAGCCACACTGTCTGATGTGGGCCGCTCACTGAGCGAAGGCCCCGTTCGGCGTAAGATCAGCTGCACGTCACTGGCATACTGCCCCCACTTGTTTAGGGATATGATAGGATTTTCATGAGGTGCTAAGTGTCTCTCAGTATCTCTCCATTTTTCTATAAGTGTGTACCTTCCGGTTCGACCTAGAAAAAAAGATAAGAATAAATTATTAAAATGGGATATGCAATAGCTAAAATAATGCCTGCAAACAGAGGACACTATTTGATGACTGTCTTCTTAATTAGCATCAAAGTCCAGTCCATGATACCTTTAAAACTTTCACTTGAAGATACTGAATTCCTTAAGATATGTAACACATAAAACTATGGGATGTCAATCGCAGACTTGCTTAGAAACTCAGCGATACACTTTAAACCTCAGTGAGCTTATCCTACACACTCGTCAAATGTCCGAATGCCTACACCTTGCTTGGGGCAAGACTTCCAGCTGAAACTAAGAAGGGCACTAGAGTGTCCTATTGGAAGCCAGGAGGGCCTGGTCCCCGGAACTGGGCAGAACTTCAGAACTGGAGCACACTGCCATCAGGTGAACCCCTGGCTTTCTCTGCACGTCAGGACCTGGGAAGGTTAGAGCCCCCATTTCTCCACCTGAAGGGAGTCCTGGAGCCAGTGGAGAGCCTGCCACTCAGTTAACAGGTACTGAACTGTCTTCCTCTGCCTGTACCTTCCTGCACACACGTGGCAAATGAAAATTGCCACAAACCTTCAAAGTAATTTCATATAAAAAGAGGGGCCTGAAGAGAAGCCTTGTTCAGTTTTGATAATAGCTTCAACAAATCTTTTTAAAAATTTTTAAATGCAAAAATATTATTATTAAAAGACAAAAACAGAATAAAATTATGTTTATATAAAAATATACTGAATCTAACAGTAATTATGAGAGACAGTTTCGGAAGACAATATAATGTCATTAGCTTGAACACACTTCCTAAGTCAGATGGATTAAATTAATTTCGTTAGAAGTGTCCATTAGACACCTGAAACTAATATGATGTTGTATGTCAGTTGTATCTCAGTTTTAAAAAGTGTCCATTAGTGGCTAATATTATTACAAAGAAAAAGCCCAACCCTGCCATCTCGCAATGATAATACTGGCATACACAGCTACGGATTTATCTTCCCTGCCTTCTTTTTTAATTCATGAGGTTCTGTGAGGTAATACGTCCTCAATTACTGGGTCAATAATGTAAATCTAGATATGTGCATATGAACACCCACATATGCAATTCGTAAGGAGCAGGTGAAGAATGATATTGCTGTAAGCATATGTGTATGGTCTCCTTTAAGGAAACCTGAATCTTGGATGCAGCTGAAAAGTTGAATCTTTGAAGGCAAACAGACCAGACTTTAAAGCTCTGGAAAGTGACTTACTGGGTAAGTAGTACAACAACGTTGCTGAGGTACAACGTGGCAGCACCTCAGAGGGCCTGAGAGATGGAGTCAGGTGTAATGAGCACCTTCCGCACTGCCAGGCCCACGGCAGGTATTCAGTACACGGCAGCCAATACTCACTTAAAACGTTGTTATTCACAAGACAAAAGGGCTGACCGAAGACCTCCTTTAAAAAGTGATGTGATATGAGAGCAATCTGACTAAAAGAATCCTTAAGTGACTTTCTGTATCCCCTAACTATGTAAAGCTGGACAGAGTGGAAAGAATGAAGGCCTCTTTTTCTCTCTGGAGTCAGAAGGCCTCTCTTCAAATCTGGCTTTGCCACATATTTACATGACTTTCACAAATTATTAAATCTCCTTCAGCTCTGGTCTCCTCATCTATAGGATGAGAGTAGTAAGAGTCAAGTGAGATGTAAAGTATGAAAATGTTTGTAACATTGCAAAGTGCTATACAAGGATTACTTGTATTATTACCAAAATACTTCCCCTGAGCAAAACAAGGGAATGAGAAGCCTTATCAGCATGTTGGATTTGCCTTCTTGGAATTAAAAAAAAAAAGTTTCTAATGATTTTCAGGGTAAAAATTATTGTAATTACCCCAAGAAAAACCACGCAACAAATCTGCAAGGTTAAAACTTGCTCTCTGGGTATGCACTGCTCCAAAGAGCCCAGCCTCTGTGGGCGTGGCCCTGCTGCCTATCAGCTACCTCTAGGACCCCCCCTGCTCCCCGGCCCCTGTGTCCTCATCAGGTACACGAGGAGTCAGACCAGATCAGCAGAGCTCTCTCCATCCTACCAGGCCAACGAAGCATCTTTAAAAAGAAAACTGAATCATTACATTATATGAACTAAATTATACATTTTAAGGACTCTAATTTAGTCATAATTAAATATAAAGCTGGTTTTTCCAATGCTTAATGGTACTGCTGCTCTGTGAGGATGTCTTGGTTAGATTTTTTGGAATTGCTTTTACTGCCAGTTTTTCCTTTCTGTTAAATAATGCGTATTTAGTGCGATTAGGCAAAAAAGAAAAAAAATTCCATCTAGCAATATAAAAAAGCTTTTTAAAAAATGTAAATGAATCAGTACTTTGATATTACTATAGAAATTGGGTTTTAGGTAATTTATGTGAGAGTTAAATCCCACAATCACTGTTTTTAATGCCCACACTTGGCAGGGCCTACACATCCTATATATTTCATTAGATTCCAATTCTTCCTGCAAAACTCTTTTTAATGCAGTTTATTAAATGGATATATTTAGTTCCACCTTACATACTATCTTGGTGTAGCCCAAAAACTAATAAAAAGGAATTATCTATCCATCTATCTTTCTTTCTATTTGTCTGTCTGTCTATCTATCTATCTACCTATGGCATCTGTAGTTTAAACTGTTTCGGCTACCTAGGCCTGTATGCCACAATAGGTAATGGTAAATAAAATACTGACTTTACTTCTGAATAGCTGAAGCAACTGAGTGTAACCCCAAGAACTGTTAACTTTCTATAATGAGGAAAATCACATAACGAGATTTTACTGCATTAGTGGAATCTCATTGGATAACTGACATGAAATAAAAGGAAAATGGATAACAGATTACTTTCGCCTAGCTTAAAGCAGAATATGTGACTATGAATTAATATGAAGTTTTGGGAAATATGTACCAAAATTCAAAAAATTAAATGAGTCACTCAGAAATATAATGCCCTTATTTCAGCCATTTAAGAAAATTGCAACCATTTCTTAAAATCTTAGGAAATTTCTCTTTGGAGCCAAAAAATAAAATCATGATTTAAAAGTGTCACATCTTGTTACTTATTCAATGAATATATATACTGAACAAATACTTGTTGGAAATAGTGTCAGGTCCTAGGAATATATATTCTATTAAACACCCTGATCATCAACTCTCTTCAGAAATTTTAGTTTTAACGGATATTTGATTTTTTCTTCAGTATCAAATCCTCCTTACCACAAAAATGAATACTGTAGGTTATTTAAAAGAATGTGACGTGGCATTCTCTTTTGAATTTCATGCTAACATATCCTCCTGTCTCTGGATATACTGGAAGTGATGCCAGCCAACACCTGACTTATTCTTTATCTGTGGTGAAAAATCTATCCTACCCCACTCAGTTTTTTTGATAACAGATACTTTTGGTCTCTCCGATCTATAAACATTTTGAAATCTTATGCAAAATTTAGTGAACATAACTAATCTTTTCCATAATGGTGGAGAATTCTCACAATAAACATTGATCTCTGTAACAGAACTTATACTGTACAATTTTATAGTCTATTAAATGCTTCTGATGCTTATATATGTATATATAGATATATTTTACATATAATACATATAAACTACATAGGATATATATAATCTTAACTGGGTGAGTTCAGCAGTACAGGTATTATGATCCTCAGCTTACCAGTGAAGAAACCAAAGCTTAAAAATTTAAAGCAATTTCTCAATGATATGCAACAACTATCTGGCAAATTTAACCATGAGTTTTTTTTTATAAGTCTTGAGTGTAGCTATTAAGATAAGTCTTACCATAGAGGATTTATCTTATGATGACAGTGATATAAGAATATCTTCGAGTATAACCTGTCAGCTAGCTGCAAATTCAACCCCCAGTGGAATCATTCACAGGGTATTTTCCCGGTGTATGGATGAGAGTATCACATAATCACAGAATTACTACATATTAATTCAGGATTTACTTAGGATTCCATTATTAATTTACTGCTATTAAAATAATGAAAACATTTATTGATTTCACAGTGGTTAACATTTAATATGCCTACTATTTGCTAGGCTTTGTGCTGATTACTTTACATAAATACTATTAACCAAAACAGTAGCTAACACATCACTATAAATTACTGAGACTTGGGGGACTGTTTGCTAATGCCGCAGAATGTCACCCATCCTGACTGATGCATGCTGTGAATTACATGTACTCACACTCATCTTTTATGGATGTGGAAAATAGAGAAGTTACTTAGAAATATGGATGATTACACTACACTACTGTTAGAAGTATCAAAATCGTAAAAGATGACCCTGGCTATAAAAAAGCACCATATTTTACTACTAAGGATATTTATCTCTTGCTTCAATGTAATTCAGTCAGTAACTGTATTTTCTAACAGTTGTCCATGGAGATTCTAGGGAGTGTAACTAACATAGTGCAACAGTAATTAAGGGCAGGGTTCCTGAAACAGACTACTGGTTTGCATCCCAGGACCCTCCCTACCAGCTGCAGGAGCTTGGGCATGTTATTTAACATCTCTGTGCCTCAGTCTGATCGTGTCCACAACAGGGATCACAACAGTGCCTTCCTCATTCGACTGTCATGAGGATTAATGATGTGGAAAATTTAACTCATCATCCAGTAAATGAAAAATGAGACTTTAAAACTATGAAGCATTACGGAGAGTGAAATCTTATTTTTAAAGCTTATCTATAAGTGCATAAAAAGCATTGTTTGATGTGTCTCCTTCTAGGAAGCAGGATCATGAATGACTCTTACCTTTTTTGTGTTCTGCTAAATTTCAAAATAGTCTACAATGAATAGTATTACTTTGTAAACAGATAAAAAACCAGTTTGTAAATTTCTATAATTGGTAATTTATATATGAAATTAAGAGTTAAATGTGACAATACAATATATATTCTTTTCTTCATCTTCTAAAGGATCATATAATCTTAGAGATGGATGGGACG